ATGTAAGCTGGGGCTGATGTAAAGACTTCCGACAGCTGCACACAAGGCATAAGAACATTATCTGGGTAGTACAAAACTAAAATTTTAGAAGACTACAAGCTTGCACACATGTTAAAAACACTCTTGTGAGTCCAGTTCCCCTTTCCCATTCTCATCCCCTTTTGGTTCCTCTGTGTAAAACAGCTGATGAAAGCTCAGTTTCATCAGAGTGAGCGCAAAGGAATACCAGCGCTTTTATACGCATTTGGAGACCTCCTCAGAAGAAACTGCGGGGTTGGCAGCAGTGAAGTTAGCAGTCTACCTGCCTGTACAAGCTTGAAACAACCCTAAGCTGCATGCTGCTTGACCCATCTAGTCTCAAACTTCTAGTGCCCATCTACCAACAGCTCTTTTCCCTACACGTTTGCAACACTCTGCTCAACCTTTGGTGACTGCAAATCACAGTTTGGTAACAACAGAGAGGCACTCTAAAAAAGAAATGACTACCCAACACGTGCATATTTTTTAAAATCCTCTCTCTAATTTCCTCCCCTCTGCTGTTAAGCAGGCACACAGTAAAACAAACAAAATGTCCAACCGAAAAGAGGTTTTCTGTCTAGGCAGCTTTTCAGAGGACTGCATGATGAAAAAGCCCCAACCCCTGGCACAAAGACCGTTCCAGGGCACAGCTCTAGAGAAGGCAACGCTACAGAGGGAAAGGAGGAAAGTAAAAAGGGGATGAAGCTGTCAGTTCTAGCAGACGGGAAAGGTTAAGAAATAAACTTCCAAAACCTAGAGTAGAGCCCAGGATGGAAAGAATCAAACAGGGTCAAAGCCAGGTTGCTCTTGAATTTGCCTGCACTCTACAAAAGGCCTGACCAAAACACTTTATCAAAAAAAACCTGAAGGCTTGAATTTACTTAAGCAGTGAGCGTTACTTATTTTGTGCGTGACCACCAATAGGAGTTTGAAGGACCAAAATTCAACTTTGCTACTTTTAGAAAACCTATACTGCTTAACTCACTGTGCGTCCTGAGCACCACAGATATATTTAAGTGTCTGTTGGGTCTGGCAGACTGAACACCCTTCTGACCTGCAGAAGAAAAACAGAATGAACAGTTTGAAGTGGATTTGTTCTGAACTATATGCTGTTCTACGCATATTTAAAAAAACCCAAAAAAACCCTCCCAAACCCTTCTGTAGCACAGCAATGGTCACTTTGAAGGATTTTTCACACCCCTGACCACATCTGGTTCCTTCAGAAGCTGCTCTGGATGCAAAATAGATATGCTATGAAACAAAAGCTACTTTAGAACACAATGTTGCCATTATTTGTTAAAATCCAGCTCTACTTTTTTTTTTTTTTTAAATTCAGTGAAACTTGCTGCACACTCAACCACAGAGGCCTGACACAGTTTATTCAGCTCTTGCACTGCAGTTCTTTCTCCACTCGCTGCAGGTTAACTGATTTCAGCGGATATCTGAACGCTGCCCCATTTCATCTGGACCAAGCAGGAAATACAGCCGGGAGTCAAGTAACCGTGAACACAGCAACCCAAAGCATTCACAGTTCTCATTGATGACAATACTTTTTACTAGAAAGAATAACAAGTGCTTTCCATAGGATTCACTTAATAGAGTTTTTAAGAAATAGGATTTTTCCTTTTTAAACGGACAGCTCCAATGCAATGACTTTTCAGTGCAAACAGGGTTCTCCAAGATTCTCCTACATGTAGAGTTTCTTCTCTGTGCACAGTAGTTCAAACACTTATACGTTTGGCAGGTGTGGAACATTACTGAAGAGTTCATCCTTTAAAAAAACAGTGGTTATGTAAAAAGCTTTCAATATGTTACACTGACCAACAGGAATTACATCATTTGTTGTTTAACACAGATTTAAGGGACATAATTCCTTCATACAGTCCTACACGCAGATATATAAAGGTGCTTTCAGTTCTATCAAGAATAATAATCATTATACCAATATAAATAATATTATCAATTTTTACTATGTAGACAAAAGTGAAATTGTCTTTTGTTTTTAGATTAACCTTCTGCTTTTTAGCTAGCGACATCCTTTGAGCGCTTGGTGCTTCCTCTGTCTTGGAACTACATCTGGATGGAAGGAAGAACACAATACAAGGACTATTCACCCATTTCTCCCTCGCTTTTGGCACACTTTTACAATCAGATTTCTTTTGACACATATATGCATCATTTTCATGCATTTTGTTTTCCACTCTTTATGTCTGATTCTGTCAGTCCCCTTTTTTCCTTAACTCCTCTCTCCTTTCCTGCAAATGACGCAGAAATAGTACAGCAACAGCACAGAATTAGAATAAATGATTCTGTGCAAATTCTTACATACAATGGAATGTATGAAACCATACAGGTGAGGGGGTTATCTTTCATGCAATACATTATTTTTCTTCTTCATTTTCATTCACCCTAACTCCACCAGGAGGGTTATTTCTTCAGATTTTTAAAAACAAAACACTTCCACAAAGGACAAAATGCAGTAAATTACCCTTAAGAGAAACCATATAAACCATTCACCATTCACAATATTAGTCCAAAAGCTCCCTAGAGTACACGTATACAAACATGAACATCAAAAGGACAACTAAAATGACTTCATGAGTGAAACAGTCACAGTTATGCACATAATAAAAGGTTACATGCATATAAACAATTTCCTTACTGAATTTGTCACAGTCACACCCTTGGCTCGTTGCTCCCCGTTCCTTACGCACAGAGCAAAATCACCGCTTCAGGAAACACTACATGCCATCTCACAGCACGGCATCTTCACACGAGAGCACTACTGTAACAAGGATATCACAGAGACACTCTTTTCCTACAGGATGAAAGGAATTGGGTGAGATCCTCTGAACAGTAACTTGATCGTGAGAAAAAAGGAAGGAATTTTTTTTTTTAAATGACTGTTGTAGCACAGCCCTTATACAGGAGAAAAATACACATAAACCCACCACTGCGTCTATACAAATATGCAAAGATGTAAACAGATGTTCTGCTTCTACGAGGCTTGAAACAAACCCAAAGTTTACCCCTAGGCACTTGTGAGTACAAAGCTCCTAGCTCCGAGTTCTTGCTGTTTGCGCTGGGACTTCCAGCTGTGGATAACAAACCCCTGTACCCAGGAGCACCTTCTGTTGCCAAACCTTTCCCTGCCATCAGCGTAACTATTTAACTAGGTGCCAGTCACCACTGGTCGCCATCTAAACACGCGGCTGGGCCTCAGTCCCCCTGCCAGCTCCGCAGAGCCTCTTGGACCCACAGTCAAGGCCACCTGAAGGTCTGCAGAGGAGACCTGGCTCTTCAGAAGGTAACTACGCCTTCATGAGAAAAGCACAGAGACATGTCTGCAGATGGTATTTAGGCACATAAAGACTTTAAAGGAGCTGGGCCTTGACGTTCACTGCCCTATGTAACAATTATTTTACTCATAGGGAAGTCTGAAAGACTGGGGCTAATGGTCCTGGAAACAGAGCCCAGCAACCAACACGATCCGTATAGGCATAGAATTGGCCTTCAGAATCCAGTTGCAGGACTAGGAGCATAGAGAAGCTGCCCTTAACTTCAAAAAGTCTCTGGATAAGACAGCATTTTCAGCTAATCTATTGTTGATGTCTGTCTTCTATTACACTTCTTTAAGTAAATGTATAATTTCACTCTACCATAAATGAAGCCAATTTTGCAACTAAATTTCTTACTAACATACAACAAATATTAAATTGGTAGCCTATTTAGTAAAGGTCCTGTCTCATCTTACTGTTTTTCTTTACGTGACCACATTCAGCTTGGAGATATTCAGTACACCCCCCATGCGGCTCCTGGGGAGCCAGAGTGAATTTTGCACGTGGTCTTGAACGTACACACCCTATTCTCTGATTTGCGTTGCCCACGATACACACCTATAGATAGGCATTTTTGTTGCCTAGCATGGAAACGAATTAGGTAAGACTGCTAAATAAAATGACCACCTGATTTCAACTACATTCTTGCCTTGCATGAGGAAACAGGTCTGATTTGCTTAGGTACACAAAGCTTCTAGCTCGTGTTGGGTCAATGCGTCCCTAATTTGCTACAGCGTGAAGAGATCTGGTCTGGTGCCTGTGGGGTGGTTCAGACACTCCACGCAGGACCCAGAGGAAGCAGACAGTATCCTAGCATCGCCTGCTGGAATGGCAACACTGCACCTGTAACCACCTACAAAGTCCATGGATTACCCAAATATTTATCTTCAGAAGGAGGGCTGGGGGAAAGAGCAAGTATAAAAAAAAAAGAAAAATAGCAGCAGGAGCCAAGTGCATTTCCAAAACCAAGGCAGAGCTCCATTAGCCCACGTGGCCAGCATAGGACTGTGATTTCTCCTCAGCGACAGCCGCAGCCTTGTGTGAAGTCACTAACATGAGTATCAAAGCATTTTGCTGGCGTAGCTTGTTTCCTGGGGGAAACTAACCAAGGATGCTTTTGTGTGGGGAAGTTGTGCTCACCTTATGAACCTCTGTCATTGCAGGTTTGTTAGCAAACCTCCCTGGCACAGATTTACCTTTTCAGCAAACAGCCTAGCAAATTACGCAGACTCAGGGAACAAACAGCACACGAGCAGCCCCCCTGAGAGTGAAACAGGACACTCGCATCAAGTGTCCTTTTTAAAACCAGACAGAAAATTTTCACCATACAAAGCAAGAACATTGAAGGGGGACAGATAAAAAGCCAATCCCTGGACTAAGGCCCCAAGAGTGCACAAAACAGTACACTGGACACCACCATATTACAAACATTATCCTTTTTGCCCTTCAAAGATGTAGTAGGGCACTGGTGACTTTGCTTAAAATGCGTAATTTTAGTCCCCCTCACCCCAAACATTGGAAGTTCATCAAAATGCAATTCGAAGCATTGCAGCTTTTGATATGCCACCCATTTGCTTGAACACACAAATCCACTGACATAGTGACAGTGTTGAAATATATAATCCGAACAGCATCTATAAAATTTTACTGTTGTACATAAATAATGACAAGGCACAGAACAGCAACCAGTCCAAGAGCTTGTAGGCCAAGAAACCAGAGCATAACCCAGAAGAACATAATTATTACAGGTTCTACTATCCGTTCTCCAAAGTACATCCTTGTGAAGCCTATTCTGATAAGGCTTTTGTTTAGTTCGCCAAAGAGAGTCCCCATCTTTTTATAGTCATCTATTACTGGTTCTGCGGAGTGGTTTCTTTGTTCTTGCTGGACCTGCGGACAGAAGACAGAGTTAGGAAGTATGTTGTACAACCTGTTCTTATTACCATTATTGTGCTTCTGAACAAGACTCAGCTCTTTCTATTTGCATGCGTAAAAATAATATATACATGCCATAAAGCTACTCCTTAAATTGAGAAATGGAAAATGTTACATAGCTTGTGACTTTGGTACAATGTCAAGTACGACACTCACGTGTCCAAACTTGGGACATCTGCAGTGATGCTACAAACATGCAGCCTGTCTCCCCTCCAGATGCCACTCTCGAGGGGTGAAGCTCTCCTGCAGGTCATGCATCTTACCTGTCTGTGCAACACGGATGCCAGGGCAACCAAAATGGAATTAGATACCTGTAACTTCAGGGAGGGGATTTGATGGAAGCAGATTTGTTATAAAGTATTTCCAGAATATCTTCGGAACCCCAAGAACAACACAAAACTATTAAGCACGAACTATAAAGTATTTCGCACCGAAGCACAGGGAATTGAAGGGCTCCTATCACCACTGAAAGAGGGGCACTGGATTTGACCAGGAAGGTGGCAAACGTCCATCCTGATGTTGGCATAGCAAGCTGTGAAAGTCAGGCAAAGGAAGACAGAACCAGGGACCACACAGACACAAAGTGGTGGCACAGGAAAGCAAAGGGGAAGGGAAACAAGTTCTGCACTTTTTTGGGAAAAGAAAAATGATGGGGCAAATGCACAGGAAGGCAGAAGCGCATCTTCAGATGAAGATGCCACATTTAAAATCACCGCAGAAAACATGCGACTGTTTCAACACGTAAATTGTAAGTAGATTAGAGATTGAAATCCAATCTCTCCTTCCCCAGTGTCCACAGATCCATTGCACAAAAGCTTTTTGCCTTGTGTTTGGGTATGACACGCTTTCAAGATGATGAACCTGAGTTTTCTAATCCTTCCAGCAGGCAGCAATGACAACACATGCAGCAGCTACTCATCAATATTTCAGTCAACTGATCAATATGTCCAGCACATTGCAAATGTGCAATTAGTCTATTCCTGGATTCAAAGCAAACATGTATCTTCAGTTCTGTTTCCAAGGATGAAAGCTATTCTGCATCCCTGGTTACACAAGCACCGTCTTTGCGGAGAAAGAGAAATTCCCTCCCACAGCAGCGCCACGCTCTCCACTAGATAGCAAGTGATAAAGTGAATTCCCCTCCCCACAGAAAAACATCTATCAAAGACCAAGGGAAGCCAGTATTTTTCTTCCAGGCCAGACTTTAGGCCACGACGCAGAATCTTCTGGCTGAATGAAGGTTGGGTAAAGCACCACAGCTGCTACTGACAAAAAACTCCCAACAAAACCCCTACAATCCCTCAGCGTTGCGTGCTTGGGTATTTTTTTATTTGCTTATTCACAAAGATTTTGGTTTAAGTTTCAGTACTGAATCCCAGGGAGGGAGGGGTGCAGGAAGCCTCAATAGTAACGAATATTCAATTTCATTTTTCTGTGGTTCTGCAGCAGAGCCTGAACGTGGAGAAGCACAGTACTGGAGGTTACGTACTGACAGCCACCACCTTGTCTGTTTTCCGCCCGCTTCTCAGGTCCAGGTCATTTTCAGCCCCTCACTAGATACAGAAACCCCAGCTTTCAGCACTTTAGCTTTAACTGTGCTTTATTTAATTCAAAGAAATATTGACTCCTCTTTAATTCCAGCGTTTCAACAGTAGTTTCTTCAAGAAAGGCAGAGCCTCTTGTGAGCCCTGGCAGACTTGGCAAGGGAGGGTGCTTGCCACCCCGGGAACACAACGCTGTTCCAGGAACTCTCCTCCCTCTACTCCCAAAGAGCTCAGGGAGACAAACAAACAATTAGCCTAAGTGGTATAGTCATCACAACAATTCAGGAAACGAGAAAGGATGTGCTGGGAAGGGAAAAACATACGTGTCCGTGCTGACAGCATCTCTGCTGGTACCAGGCAGCTGCGAGACACGGGATTTCCCTAGCAGCCCCATTCTGCGTTGATAAGCTAACAGCAAGAAGCTGCACACAGTCTCTTAAGCAGGGTACAGAGTAAATTCCACCTTACTTAGGGTGTCCGGGTCTTTTTTATCTATAGCGTTTTGGGTTTTTTTTTAAGCAAGGCTTTATCTCACCTCTCCTTCTGAAACAAGTGTAGGCTCCTGAATTCCTAAAGCGATTACACAAAGCAAGCTTCTAGGTGTGGAGACTGACAAGCGTGTGTTTAATTACAAAACAAGTGTCAAGTTATTTTTCCAAATATTTTCAAAAGCTCACAAAACCTTTCAGAATTATCACGGAAATTCTCAAGATTACAAAGTCTGCTTCAGTTAATTAGGGCTGAGCATGTCTTGCTTCAGGCAATTCAGCAAAAAATAAGCAAAGATGAGAACAGATGATCAGCCGTAAAACACAGATGGCATATTTTTCTTTACTATTGCATAATTTTTCACATGCTGGACAAATATGTTTCTTCAGAGGTGTAGCTAAACCAGACCCATTAGGGAAACACCAGTAATGCTACAGAACTCCAAATTGCTAAAAAACCCACAAAAATAATAAAAAAATAATTAAAAAAAATCAAATAAGCTTTAACATTGCAGCTGGAAGTTCTCCCTGATTTTCCGGGGGCACAGTAAACCAGCATACAGTCCCACATAAGTGCCAGCAGCTCTCAAACCACATCCTTAGAACCAAATACTTCTTTTGGTTTTTTTCCAAAAGTACTTTTCCAAGTGTTTTTAGAAATTGGCTACCTTCAGCAAGCACACAGTTCCCAGCTGACTCTTACTTTCCATAGGACAATTTTCATACTGAATCTGCTGGATCAGTGTGAAGCTAGACAGACACTACCATAACA